AGGATCAACAAACAGAACAACAGGAACAACAAACAAAACAACGAGAACCTAATCATCAATTGCAAGAGAAAACACTATTAAAACCAACTGATTTAAACACTAAAAGAAAGAAACCTATGATCAAAAATATTCAAAAAATTTCTCAGTCAGTAAAAATAGTTGACAGTGACATTACAAAAAATGAAATCACATATGTCTCAACGTTACAGAAATGACCATTAAAGCGTAAGCTTCCACCTGCAAACGCAACAAAATTCAATAGATCTGTTACGAATAATTTTCAAAACCTGGAGCAGGCAACTAGCAGTAATGCTAAAAATAATATAACAAATGGTAAATATTTTATTGAATTCTTTGATTTACATCAATACGCTTCAAAGTTTGTTTAATGTAATATGCATAAGGCTAATTTCTCATTACACAAAGTAATTAATTAAAATGATTTTCATTAATATAGAAAGTACTAAGAATAATTATTAATTGATAAATGTCTCAAGTCAAAAAATTTTGATTACATAAAAGTAAGATAAAAAGTTTCTCTTATTATAAGCTGAATGAACAATATCTTTTTATTAAATTTTTAAGCAAGTACTCATCCGCCTCTTGATAATTTCGCAAAGAAAAGAAGAAGAGACATACAAGATTGTGAGGGGGCATTGAAAGGTGCTATAAATACATTTAAATCTCTTACAGAAATAGCAACTAATTATTACAAAAAGAAATCAAATTTTAAGGAGAAAAATATTCCACAAAAAACGGTAATGCTATCTCCATTCCAAGATGGTTATGAGGAAGAGTTGATAAACTTCTTTAGAAAAATACCAGAGTTTAGAAAAAGAGAGGCTTTTGAAATGGCTATGGAAAGATTAGAATACATTTTAGACGATTGTGATGTTCTTTAAGAACAGAATCCTCTTAGAAACCTGTCATAACAGGTGAAAAACAATTTAATTTCTATTTAAAAGAATTAAAATTTTTTAAAAACAGTTTTACAATTATTAATGATATGTGAAACAATACTTTAAGTTTTTGTGATATTGCAATAAAAAGTATTACAATTTTTATTTAAGAAAACGAATATATTTATAAGATTAAAAATAGTTTGTAAACATAAAATATGTATAGTTTAAAAAAACATTTTATTATAACTTCATTTATGAAGTACCGTCATTACGAAAAAATGGAACATGTCTTAGACTATACTGCAAATTTCTTAATAACATATGTTTATTAAAAATGAATATGCATAACAGGTCATACATAATTAAATTTTTATTTCAAATTTAATTTTGTTCTAAACAATTTCATAATTATTAATGATATTAAGATGTTGTACAATACTTTGTTTGTGATATTATGATAGATAGTATTGAAATGCATTATTGAAAAAAGTAAACATATTTATAAGATTAAAAACACTTTGTAAACCTGAACTAATATGTACACTCTAAATAATCCTTTTATTATAAGATTATCCATAAAGAATTGTTACAATTGTTAAAAACGTTCTTTTTTGCAAACATTTCCTTTCAAAAAGCCTTAAACTATATTATTTTAATTTTTAAAATAAGCAGCTAATTTGTTTCGAATTTTTTGTTCTTGTGAGCAAACTGCCTTTTTAGTTTTCCTTTTTTTCTTTCCCGTTTCTTGATTATTATCATTTATATTGTCATCCGCATCAAATTCATTATCATCATTATTTTCATCATTATCCTCTTCCTCCTCCTCCTCATCATCATCGGCATTATCGAAGCTTACGTTTTCATTAAAGTTAAATTTTTCTCTGTTTTTTTTCAATAAATTTTCCGCAGCATATGTTTTTTTCTCATTTGGCTCATACAATTCAGTCGACAATAAAAAATTGTGGAGACATAGTAGACATTTTACAATGTTAATTGATGTATCCAGCTTAAAATCTAAGGATTTTAAAAGGATTCGCCACACAGTTGTAAGGATTCCAAAAGAATCCTCAATTGTCATTCTGGCATGAGACAATCTGTGAATGTTTATTAATAATAAGCTACTTTACAATTACTTTTTAAACATTTTAATTAGAAAATTAAAAAACTCACCGGTAATTAAATAATTTTTGCATATCACTTTTTAAATATCGTTTCGAATATGCCCGCTTTAAGTAAGTACTCAAACCAAAACCTTCATCTCCAATGAAGAAATATGGAATTTCATCATTTGCTCCAGGCAATAATCTTGGTTCAGGAAGAGGATATCTTCCTGCTGTCAATTCTTGATTGAATCCTGTTGCGTTGAAAACACTCGAGTCATTTAAGGACCCTATAATATTTGTAAGCAAAATAGAAAAATTTATTTTCTTAAAATATAAGAAGGAACAAAGATTTTCTATCAAGAAATGCTTACCATAGTCGCCTATATCAATCCATAAAAACCGATAATCCGCATCGCAGATTGCCATGAGAACAAAACTAAAATATTTCTTGTAATTAAAAAAAGCAGAACCTGATCCCGGAGGCTTACTAATTCTAATGTGCTTGCCGTCGAGAGCACCTATGCAATTAGGAAAACTCCAACGACTTTCAAATCTTCTGCTATTTCAAGCCAATCTTGAACTTGCTTATCAGGAAGATATATTGGGGACAATATTTCCCAAACTTGTACACAGACTTCACATACGATTTTGTACAAAGTAGATTGACCTAATAAGTACATTTTTGACAAAGTAAATATACTGTCAGCTTTTCCCAAAAACTGCAATAAAAATAATGAATGTATAATTTTAGAAGTGTAAAAAGAGTTGTAATGTAAAATTTATTAACGCATTTACATTTATTATTGGCTCACGATAAATCCTATTCATTTAAGTTAATACAAAAGAAAATATATGTTCTTATTGTACAAATATTTATAATAATTGTAAAAATTAATTAAACTTTAGATCCCAAAAACTTATAAAAATAAATTTAATTAATACTTACTGCAAAGTGATTGCTAATTGCAATTCAGTAGATATAGGTTCTCTAAAGAAGGTTGACTTCTCCAGATTGGATTTTAACATTTCATGCAATTTACAAAATTGATCAACTGTCATTATATACATTTTATGAAATTCTTCATGATCGTGAAATTTAAAATAATTGAACAGAGTTGCATATGAGCCGTAGGTATTTCGCACATTTATATTGATGTGTGGTTTTACCCAGCATCTGCGAAAGCGCTTCTTTTTCTTCTTTAATTCAATATACATTTTTAAAACTCTTGAAAAAGACAAGCAAGTAAATTGAATTGGAACTATGTCCATAATATTTAATAATAATATTGAAATAGTATCCAAGCAATGATAATGTTTAAATAGTTAGGTATACAGAAACTTTATACGCGTAGTGCAAAACAACAGTAGAAAAAGAAATTTTAGGTTAGTATTAAGGGTTTGTACACAATGAATTCAACAGACACCATATAAAGAAAATTTTTTTCTCAGATTATGGTGGTTTAAGAAAATTTAGTATTTCTTTAATATTCAAAAACTGAGAAGCTGTATAAAAAAATTCTGCCCATAAATATATCCTGTGTGAAGAGAAATAACAATTTTTTTCATAAATTTTTTTCTTTAAAATTCAAAAATTCATTTACATTCTACTGACCCTGATATTTGAAACAAATTACCAGACAAACCAATTAAATTGAGCCCATAAAAAATTTCTCTCCTTCATAACGATTTAACATTTTCATACAATAAATATTCGAAATTTAAAAAAAAATAAAAATCTGAACATTCAGAAATATGCTTAAATGAACAGTTAAATGTTTAGTTGTTTATTATTTTAAAAATGTTAACAAAAAAGTTATTGTTTCTCTTTTCATTGTGCACTTGCCTCGCAGTGATGCAAATTTTTAGTGTGCTAGAAAAAAAATTTGTTGAAGAAATTTTTCAATAGTAATAAATATAAAAAAAATTTTGATTTATTTAATTATATTATTAAATTAATATACATTATTCTATTCAGTTAATGTTACTTAATACAAGAAAATATTATTTGATTTAAATACAAAAATAAATCGGTTTTAATACAGTTTATTTATTTTAAATAATTAATAAATTACTTAATTCTAATAAGTCTTTCTTTGATAACAATTAAATAATTCATTGTTTAAACTAAATAAAATTTGTTCTGTACATTTCTTTTATTTATTTATTATTTATTACTATTCTCATTATTATTAAAATATTTATTTTTATTGATATTATTATTTCTATTGGTCTTGGAAATTATTTCATTTATTTCCTTATTTATTATTTACAATTCATAATTCATGTTAGAAACAGTTTTTTCTATCTCAACAAAAAATGAAAGTTTAAGTATTGTAACGTGGATTTTTATATCCCCGTTAAGAAATAATTATTCCTTGGATTTCGCCGAAGCTTGTTCGAATAAAATTAATACTCACGTTTTAATTTAACAGAAAAATAGACCACCAGGAGCAACCTTCAATTTTTGTTATATTTTCATTAATTATTTTGAATTGTTTACCTTTTTCTAAGGTTAGAATACGTGAGAACGGAGACTGAGAGAGAGCAAGAGTTGATATCGACGAGGAAGACAACGAGAATCCTGTCAGCCGCAATTATTAAACATTTGACGAGACGAACGAGCCTGCGAAATGTTTAATTCTCTTCTAATCGACAATCTTCCATAGTTTTTCAATATACAAGATTTCGTCTGCCTGTCACAACACTGGGGCAGACGACAAATAATCAATTCCAACTTCACATCGATAAAAGTGCTAACGCATTTCCACAGCAGGGTCGTTGTCCAATTTTCCGGTGGAATCAGCCAATCAGAGACGCCACCGGGGACAAGACGAGAAGTTTGGAATCTTTCCGCGCGCGGCATCCAACCAGAATGATGCGCGCGGACAACTTTATGATGCTTACATACTTTGTAAAATCGGGATCGATCAAGAAGGAAGGAAGCCTGGAAAATTGAGATAGGCATTGTTCTTGGTGGTCCTCGTGGTGTGTAGATCACAGTTGCGTTTTATAAACTAGAAAATTGCAGTACAATCACCGCTGTAAAGATGTCGAGGAGATTTCTAGAAGAAGAAAAGAATCGACTCCGAGGTTAGTTCGTCACCAGTGTCAAATTATCGAAAATCACAACAGAAGTATGAAAATTGCGATTAAGGAGAACGCCTCCCTCGCCGGACACCACGCTGTGAATACTCGAGTAAAATAGTGTTTTTCGCGAGTAATAAAGATTCCAGAGTGAAGATTGAAAGGAAGGGAATTGTTCTAATTAAATTTCGCTACTTTGAGACACGGCTTTATTCATAAAGAATAACAATTTATGAATTGTAAGAGGACGTTCTTAGTGGAAATTTCCGGCGTGGATTGCTGGCGAGGAGGGGCAAACGTCTTCTCTCTCTATCTCTCTCTCTCCACAGCAAACCAGAAGTAAGTCCATTTGCTATTCTCCCTTCTCAAGTATTAGTCATCGTAAATAAAGATTTTTCTTGTTTGATATTGATTAATAATATGTAAGATTAAAATTCGCTTCTTCCTTTATTAAAAATAACTGATTTTGTTTGACTTTTTTTTGGTTTTGGAAAATTTATATAATGTTTTCTTAGATTAGAAATTATTTGAATAAACTGAAACATTGTAATGAATGACAGTTCTCTCTCAGTAAATTGAGTATTTCCCCCACACCTTGAAATACGAAGTCTCAATAGTTTTCTGAATTAGCCGAGTTATATTTTATTTTATTTCAAGTGAAAGTAATAGGTCGGAAGCTCGGGTGAAACTTCCTTTCACCTGGCGCCCGTAAAATTTTGATTTATTATTAAATTAATAATTTTAGAATAAATAACGAGTTTTCTTGAGGTTACACCTTGAAGGTCGGAAGAGCGTGACCTTCAAGGTATTTCACTTTTGTTTTAAATAAAATAGAATTTTCGTCATCTGGAAAGTTTCCGGTAAGATCCAAAGTACCGGAAATTTCGAAGAATTTAAAAAGGAAATTCCAGATAAGTATAAAACAAAATAATTAACTTCATTTTACTAAATAGTAACGTGGCGAGAATTTTAGATTAAAAGTTGCTAGGGATATTGTTAGCAAAATCTTTAATACAAAAAATGGAAATCCCGTTACAAATGGCACCCAACTAAAAGGGCCCTGAGAGAGTTCTGTCAGTCAAGAAAATTTTTTTTTTGGTGTTTGAAAATTTTTCTAAAGTGAAAATACTCAGTGAAATTTTTAGAAATACCTGGGAATGACAGGAGAGAGAGAATTAAAGGTAAATTTGTGAAAAAAAAAAAAAATATATTACATTTCTTTTATTGATATTTTATTTTGAAAAAAAAGATGTATATTTTTGCTTGTTTATAATTTATTTTTTTTGGACATTTGAAATTTGATTTGAAAATTTGCTCTGTTTATGCTTTGCTTTTGCCAAAAATTTTTTTTTGCTTTGCTTGCTTTCTTTTCAGCAAATAAACCTGCATTGTTCCCACCCACAAGCCATCTTACCCACCCTGAAATTGAATTCTAAAGAATTCAATAATTAAAGAATACCCTTAGGAGAAACTCTAAAATATTATTTTCTTTAAAAATAAAAATTTTTTTTTAGAAACTTTTTTTTTTCATTTTCTCAAAATTTTTTTTTATTTTTCAATATCTTTTGGACGCGAAACATTTTGAAAATTAAAAATGGGTAGTCGAGATAATTCAGGTGATAGGTTAAGCACGACAGGCTTTAACATCGAAAGATTAATTGAACAAATTCCGACATGGGTTAGACAATTGGCCGGCAATGATTTAAGAAACCATATGTCCGAATTACAATTAAGCGAAGAGGGAATAGATGAAGTTCTTTTTGCGAGATTAGCTAGATATTATGCAAGAACAGCAGGTATAGATAACATACCATGGTTTGAGGAAGACGTAGCTCCTAACAGACGAAGAGAGGAACTCGTAGAAACCTCAAATGAAAACAACGACACCACCATTGATAATCGACGCACCTTGACTTTTAGAAACCCCTATACGACACAAGAAACCACCCCACATGGATCTAGTAGGAGTGGGGGCGAATTTCAATCTGTGATAACCCCGCCTGATTTAAATAGAAGACAGGAGGGGGAAACAGATAGAGGGGGGGAAAATCTAGAAGGTGCAGTAGGGGGATGGGACGGCAGACTTTCAGACTACCTCCCCCCAGAATCGGATCAAAGATTTAGTCATGTAAACACACAACGAGGAAATTACGGATCCAATCAAGGCCAGAGGGGGGAGGGTGATGATTCTAGTACCCACTCCCACCAATCGCGAACCTCACACAGACAAATTGGTAGTAACGCGTCACAAATGATTAGATGCCCGACTTGTAACGCGTCAACAATACCAACAACAGACTACAGGTTAACAAAGACAAACACACAGGCGCAAACAACAGAAAGTCGAATAAGTGGACCGATGTATCCACCTACCAGTTCGACTATTAATACATTCCGAGACCCTTTAGCAAACCTCGTCACAACATCCGCCATAACATATAGACCTTGGGAAACGAATGTGACATGGACACAATATGGGGTACCGACAAACAATTCTTACCCATACTACCGTTATCCGACTAACGAACCAATACGGCATAGACCAGAATTGTCTAACATGCAATCCACCGTCCCTTCAACACAAGAATTTAGTCGACAAGAACAAGTTAGGACAGACTCAATTCCAAGGCAAATGGGACAAACGATTTTTGATAACTACCCCCACCACCAGCCTTCATATGTAGAACCGATAAGAGGGGGGTGGGATCAAAGAATTCCAATTAGACAAAGCGAAAATTAGAATCAACAAGTAAATGCGATAAATAGGGAATCAGGAATATTTGCGACGAACACGAACCAGCGACGGGATACCGAAAATAGTTTATTTCCGTCAAATAATCCCACACAAATGACACAAAATTTAGGGATTAATTTCGAAAGCACAAGATACTCAATGAATACTGACACTTGTGGAATGGTACCACAGGGTTACAACAATAGATGCACAGACCAAAGAAACCCTGTGGTAATGCCACAAAATGAAATTAGAAACTATCACGCGTTACAAGGCAATATAGGGACTAGCCAAAACTATTACGATAGAAGTAATATGTTCGATACACCCCAACTGCCAAACCAGTACGCGAGATTAGATGGGTATAACGCTCACGCCAACTATCCACCCCCACCCTCATACCACCAGAATTCCCCTCAACACTGGCAGAGAACATTCTCTGGTCACAATAGTAGAACCAGAGATATCGCTCGTATAGTTGAAGGATGGGAAATCTGTTTTGATGGTAAAAAGGGCGCAAGTGTAGATAACTTCTTGTGGAGAGTAGAAGAAGGAAGAGCAGCTTCGTTCTTAACAGACGAAGAGATGTTAGTAGCTCTACCTTTTCTACTCAAAGACATGGCGTGGCACTGGTATCGATTAAATCGAACAAGAATAACATCATGGAACCAGTGCCGTATGTTATTCCAGAATCGTTTTGGGGAAGAGTTCTACCAGGAAAAACTTGAAGATCAAATAATCACGCGAAAACAGTACCCCGGTGAACCAGTAGCGGATTATTTAACGTGCATGTACGGGTTATACGAATTATCCACCCGACCTATTGACATGGAACTTCAAATGAATCGCGTACACGCCAATCTCCGAGCAGAATATAGACGCGCTATTCGTAGACACGAATTTATAGATTACAATAGTTTGTCCACATTAGCTAGAGAAGTAGAACGGGCAAATAGTATAGTAGACGATGATCAGCCACCCCCACCCCCAGAAAAATACTTGATTCCCGAATACGCGTTCAAATCTAAGTCGAACGGAAAGAAAACAGGGACAAGTATAGCCGCAATAACACCAGCTGAGAAAATAAATACGGAAGAAGACAAGGTAACCCAGCTGGAGCAACAAATAACAACATTATTGGCCGCGTTAGGAAGCGAAAATTTAAATAAATTCTCTAAGACGCCCAATAAAGATAACAATTCCGGTGGAAAGAAAAATAATTTTGCGAGTAAACAAGAAAAGTTAAAATCCACCGGAGGGAGTCGTAAAACAGACAAACCACACAAAACTGACTCTTCGACAGACAGCAAAGACAAAGAGGAGACAGAAGTAATCTGCTGGAATTGTAAACAAACCGGACATTTCCAAATCGGTTGCTCACAAGGACGCAGAAAAGATTACTGTAGGCGTTGTGGTAAAGACGAAACGACAACACAGACGTGTAAAAACTGTCCGGGAAACCAGAAAAGGGAGAAAAAGTAAGAGTCAACTTTTCTCCCCCCAAGACGGAACAGACTCAAACAAACATAACCTCTGAAGTTTTGGGATATGAACAAACGGTTCAGACCTAAAATACGAACATCAGAGAAAAGACTGTGTTTAGTTCCAAATCGACAAAACCAGACAGTAAACGAGACACAAACTCTGACAAACAAGAGGGACTAAAAGACGAAATTTTCACCCAACCAGACGACTTACAAACAGCCACCCAAGAAACATACCACTCGAACACTGAGAAACACGAGATATCGAAACAAGTAAACATCGAAGGGTCCTCAGAAGAAAACGCAGATGGGGAAGGTGTGGAAGACCCTTGGAAGGGAAATCAGATAATTTTGTCCCACTTAAAATCAGAGGAGGAACAAAGTCCGTTAGAATTGGAGATATCAATTCCTCCAACAGAAGACGAAGGCCTCGCGTTACGTGCTTTCACTAATATTAAAATCGGTAACACTCCCAACATACGAGCACTTTTGGACAGTGGAGCGTCACGTACGGTATTAGGTGAAATAGGCACTGCGATCGCGGAACATTATGGTGCAAAACTATACCCCGCGAACAACCAGGCAATAATGACAGCTGACGGCACGATACAACAAGTTGTTGCTACTTGTTACCTCCCGATACAGATAGACCGAATATCACGCGTGATGAAAGTTAGCATAGTCCCGGGACTAGAAGAACAAGTTTACCTAGGAATAGACTTCATGCACACGTTCGGCATAGTACATGACGGAAGTAAACGTATGTGGTATCTATCAGAGTACCCCGAAAACGTACACAGTTATGCAGGGAACTATCAGAAAAAAGATACACAAGAAGATAGTAACAAAGAAATAAACGTAGAACATTGTTGTGGGTTGAAGGACATTTCAGCGGAGGAACGTACCGTATTAGATAAATTAATAAAAGATCTAATAAAACCACCGCCAGACGGCCTCCCCTCAACAAACCGAATCGTGCATACAATAGACGTACAGGGACACTCCCCAATAAAGACAAGGTCATACAGAGTATCCCCAGTAGTATTGAAAGCAATGCACGAAGAAACAAAACGGCTTCTAAATAAGGGAATAATCAGAAAATCGAATAGTGCATGGTCGTTCCCGGTAGTGATGGTACGTAAGGCAGACGGAACTTACAGAATGTGCATTGACTACCGGAAACTAAACCAAATTTCGAAAAAAGATGCATATCCCCTTCCAAAAATGGATTTTATTTTAGAAAAGCTATGGGCCGCAAAGTATATTACGACCCTAGATCTAAAATGGGGATATCATCAGATTCCCATAGACGAAAAGAGCCAGGAATACACGGCATTTACAGTTCCTGGCATGGGTCTTTTCGAATTCACAAGAATGCCGTTCGGCCTTTCAGGGGCACCAGCAACATTCCAAAGACTAGTAGATTCCCTAATTGGCCCAGAAATGGAACCGAACGTGTACGCATACTTAGATGACATAGTCATAGTAAATGAGACATTTAACGACCATTTACAATGGATTAAACGCGTAACCGAAATACTACAAAACGCGAATCTGACGATAAATCCGGCGAAGTGCGAATTTGGTAGAAGAGAGGTTAGATATCTAGGTTTCCGAGTAAATAGATACGGTCTACAAGTGGATCCACAGAAAATCGAACCACTAAGAGAATACCCTGCACCAAAAAACATTAAACAATTGAGACGTTTTCTAGGGATGGTGTCGTGGTACAGACATTTCATACCAAACCTTTCCACTCTCGCAGAACCAATAAACAAACTACTCAGAGGAAAAGTCACGTGGGAATGGGGTCAAGATCAAGAAAGGGCATTCGCAATATTAAAAGAGTTAATAATTACATCCCCGACCTTGCGATATCCCGATTTTAAAATCCCATTCGAACTACATACCGACGCGAGTGATTTTGGTACTGGAGCGGTTTTGACGCAAAAACACGGAAAATTGAACAAAGTTATCGCATACGCAAGCAGAACTTTGACCGAGGCGGAAAGAAAATATTCCGTCACGGAGAAAGAATGCTTAGCGATAATTTGGGCAGTACGAAAATTCCGACACTACCTGGAAGGATTTCACTTCACGGTCATTACAGACCATAGTTCGTTGCGGTGGCTACACAACCTCCGCAATCCAACCGGCAGACTTGCCCGATGGGCATTGGACCTCCTGGAATACGATTTTGAGGTAATGCACCGCAAAGGTTCAGAGCACGTAGTACCTGATGCCCTGTCGCGGATGTATGAGGAGGACGAAGCCCACACAATTGCAGCACTAGAGCCCGTTGAAGACGAATGGTATCGCCAGCGACATCGAGATGTGAGTGAATTCCCAAATAAGTAGCAAGGTTGGAAAACAATAGACAACAAAATATACAGATACCGCCCAAACCCACTGCTGGACTCAATAATGGAAGACCTTGACGCATGGAAGTTTGTGGTACCAGCAGAAAAGAGACAACAAGTTTTTGAGGAAACTCATACAGATCCACAAGCCGCTCACATGGGAATTGACAAAACATACAGAAGAGCCTCCAGGTTATATTATTGGCCTGGAATGTACAGAGATTTGTCAAAGTGGGTACGAGAATGTGAGACTTGCCAAAGGATAAAAGCAGACCAAAGACCATCCGCAGGACTAATGGGCCGACGCGTCGTTCAGAAACCATGGACAGTTGTCGCATCAGACGTAATGGGCCCATGGCCAAAGACAGCGTTAGGCTTTCAATACGTGGTGATTTTTGAAGACCTATATACAAAATGGATAGAATTAGCACCACTAAGGAAAGCCAACGCAGAAAGCATCATCAAAGTCTTTGAAGATGCAATACTAAATCGTTGGGGAGCTCCGGAAGTATTAGTGTCGGACAATGGTACAGAATATATGAATCAAGCTTTTGAAGCTTTAACAGAAGAATATGGAATCCGACACTCATTCACTCCGGCGTACCATCCACAAGCAGACCCAGTGGAGAGGGTAAACAGAGTCATCAAAACAATGATCTCAGCATATATCGGAAAAGATCACAAGAAGTGGGATTTATATTTGAAAGAATTCCGATTTGCATACAACACTACGGTACACAGCACCACGGGAGCGACGCCAGCGTTCCTCAATCAAGGAAAAGAATTGGAAGGCTACCACAGTTTGAGAAAAACCGTAGATGACGTGGACGAATTACCCCCTCCAGAGACAGGAAAATGGCTCAGAAGAATGAATCGATTAACCGACCTACAGGACTTGGTATCCTTACACCACGAAAACGCGTTTGACCGACAAAAACAGTATTATGACCGTAGAAGAAGACACGCCGTCTTTAAAGTAGGAGACAAAGTCATGAAAAAGGGTCAGATTACATCCTCCACAAAGAAGGGGATCACTAGATGCTTTGGGGGGAAAAATCAAGGACCGTTCGTGGTCACTTGCGTAGTAGGACCCTCGGTTTATGAATTAGGTAATGTCAATGGACAATTGATAGGTAGATTCCCGATTAAACTCCTAATTCCATACCGAGAACCCGAATCTAGGGAGGGGGAAAATACCTAATCCTTAAAACCGAAAACAACTCCTTGCTTGATATGCTTTCTCAGCTTCTTTTACTTGTATCAATTAGCATGAAAGACATTCAAATTACATTTTTGTTAGCGTCAGTAATTTCTATCCACAGCGGAACAAGAGTACTTCCAACAAAGAGTACAAAATCGAAGGCGAATGATAGAGGAGGTCGACCAGTTGCTTGTTGATATTCAAGGAATGAGGGTTAGAGAATCCGGCGGAGGCAGAGACAGCGCAACACCGCCGGAAAGACATCAAATTCCAGAAGGAAGAAGAGAGGACAGACCAGCTGGCACTTCAAACCAATACCAAGAACAGCGAATGGTACCAGCTGGTTATAGCGGAGCCAGACCCAAGACGGCACAGTCGGGACAACGATCTTGGACAAGGTATCTACCAAATGATACAAAACGGGAGCCAGAAAGAGTAAGAAAACCAATCCGTTTAGTGGAGTGTCATCCAGACGGAACAAGAACGCCAATTGATGAAAGACCAGAGGATTTGGTACTAAACAAATCAAATCCAATAAATAAACGGAAGGCGGGAAGACCTCCAAAGGACATTCGGGATTGGAACGCCAGACATGGAGCAGAAGATGGCCCCTCTCCAAGAACTGCGAAAGAGGACTTCTTGAGAAGGCAGTATCGACGGCAGATCATGAGTCTAGAGGCCCAGTTAGCAGGCAAAGAAGAGGGACGTCGGATGAGGTTAGAGGCGGAGGAAAAAAAAGACAAGCGGTCAAAATTGAAGAAGACAACTCGGACAATGCCTCTTTTAAATCAATGAGCCCACCAGAAGGTAAACCATCCCCAAGTTTGAGCCAAAGAACCCTTCTGGCGGAAGCAGCAGAAAGGCGCTGGAAAATAGAGACCGAGAGACGAGCGCGAGAACAGCACGAAAAGGAACTGCGAGAAGCGGAAAAGAAACGCCATGAACGAGAAGAAAAGATCCGCATAGCAGAATCGGCAAGAGACAGAAAGAGGGAAGCCGAAGAAGCCTTAAGACGCGCAGAATGGGAGTTGAAAATCGCGGAGGAAGAAATAGAAGCTCCCAGGGAAGTGACTCTTCAGGAGCCAGAAATAGCCACAAAAAGAACCAGGCAAATGGAAGAAGATTCTGAGTCAGATGGAGGTAAAGACTGGTGGTAACAGATGCCACTAGATAAAAGAAAAAAAAATATAATAATTCTCAAAGTTGAATTTAAAACAAAGAGTAGGGTATATTTTTTTTTTGATTATTATCAATATATTTTTGTATTTTTATAAGAAAAAAAAGGGAATTTATATATTTTGTTGGGGTGTGGCTTTAGATAGCCTATAGTTTATATTTTGAAATAAAGAGAGGTGCCAATCCCCCCAGTATTATTGAACATTTCAGTCTCTTACTTATTAACATGACCCCTTATACTTAAGTCAAAGTTTATCTGACACCTGAATTCCTCTTTACAATCAGAAAGTTTCGCGGAGTGAAGAGATAAGATTTCATAGTAGAGTTCCTCCTAAGATAATTAGTTTAAGAGACGTGATCCCACAAAGAATGACAAAAATAGGTAAGTGGATGGAACAATTCAGGTTGTTACTCCAAGAATTAAAGACAGACAGAGTTGGCAATTAAGTATAAACCGGGCAAGAATAATAGAGAGAGAAATGTTGATTTATAGATGATAAAATTGAACTGATGCACTGGTGAGGGACGAGCCTCGCGGAAGAATTTGAACGGGGTAAGCTTCGGCTAGGTCCGGGGGAGTTGTAACGTGGATTTTTATATCCCCGTTAAGAAATAATTATTCCTTGGATTTCGCCGAAGCTTGTTCGAATAAAATTAATACTCACGTTTTAATTTAACAGAAAAATAGACCACCAGGAGCAACCTTCAATTTTTGTTATATTTTCATTAATTATTTTGAATTGTTTACCTTTTTCTAAGGTTAGAATACGTGAGAACGGAGACTGAGAGAGAGCAAGAGAGAGTTGATATCGACGAGGAAGACAACGAGAATCCTGTCAGCCGCAATTATTAAACATTTGACGAGACGAACGAGCCCGCGAAATGTTTAATTCTCTTCTAATCGACAATCTTCCATAGTTTTTCAATATACAAGATTTCGTCTGCCTGTCACAACACTGGGGCAGACGACAAATAATCAATTCCAACTTCACATCGATAAAAGTGCTAACGCATTTCCACAGCAGGGTCGTTGTCCAATTTTCCGGTGGAATCAGCCAATCAGAGACGCCACCGGGGACAAGACGAGAAGTTTGGAATCTTTCCGCGCGCGGCATCCAACCAGAATGATGCGCGCGGACAACTTTATGATGCTTACATACTTTGTAAAATCGGGATCGATCAAGAAGGAAGGAAGCCTGGAAAATTGAGATAGGCATTGTTCTTGGTGGTCCTCGTGGTGTGTAGATCACAGTTGCGTTTTATAAACTAGAAAATTGCAGTACAATCACCGCTGTAAAGATGTCGAGGAGATTTCTAGAAGAAGAAAAGAATCGACTCCGAGGTTAGTTCGTCACCAGTGTCAAATTATCGAAAATCACAACAGAAGTATGAAAATTGCGATTAAGGAGAACGCCTCCCTCGCCGGACACCACGCTGTGAATACTCGAGTAAAATAGTGTTTTTCGCGAGTAATAAAGATTCCAGAGTGAAGATTGAAAGGAAGGGAATTGTTCTAATTAAATTTCGCTACTTTGAGACACGGCTTTATTCATAAAGAATAACAATTTATGAATTGTAAGAGGACGTTCTTAGTGGAAATTTCCGGCGTGGATTGCTGGCGAGGAGGGGCGAACGTCTTCTCTCTCTATCTCTCTCTCTCCACAGCAAACCAGAAGTAAGTCCATTTGCTATTCTCCCTTCTCAAGTATTAGTCATGGTAAATAAAGATTTTTCTTGTTTGATATTGATTAATAATATGTAAGATTAAAATTCGCTTCTTCCTTTATTAAAAATAACTGATTTTGTTTGACTTTTTTTTGGTTTTGGAAAATTTATATAATGTTTTCTTAGATTAGAAATTATTTGAATAAACTGAAACATTGTAATGAATGACAGTTCTCTCTCAGTAAATTGAGTATTTCCCCCACACCTTGAAATACGAAGTCTCAATAGTTTTCTGAATTAGCCGAGTTATATTTTATTTTATTTCAAGTGAAAGTAATAGGTCGGAAGCTCGGGTGAAACTTCCTTTCACCTGGCGCCCGTAAAATTTTGATTTATTATTAAATTAATAATTTTAGAATAAATAACGAGTTTTCTTGAGGTTACACCTTGAAGGTCGGAAGAGCGTGACCTTCAAGGTATTTCACTTTTGTTTTAAATAAAATAGAATTTTCGTCATCTGGAAAGTTTCCGGTAAGATCCAAAGTACCGGAAATTTCGAAGAATTTAAAAAGGAAATTCCAGATAAGTATAAAACAAAATAATTAACTTCATTTTACTAAATAGTAACGTGGCGAGAATTTTAGATTAAAAGTTGCTAGGGATATTGTTAGCAAAATCTTTAATACAAAAAATGGAAATCCCGTTACAGTATATAAACAATTTGTTTCTCTTGAAAACCTTAAAACCCTACAGAAGGAATGCATTTGAAAACAGAATTTAAGAATTTGAAAATGTTATAAAATTTCAGGCACTTCCTTGAAATTTCATGATTTTTTTAATAAGAATAATTTTATTCTAAAATTTAAATGTAAAAATGCAATCAATATGTCTTATTTTAAGAAAAATTATTTTTTTGAAATCTTTGTATCCTTTATAATGAAATTTATTGTTTATAATTGTCATTTACTGAAATTATATGAACAGAATTTGAAAGATTTTAAATTACATTTAAAATTCATCAACAATTTCTTTTGTTTAAAAAATATTTTAAATGTGATATTTCTTCTGAAATTTGTAACTATTCATTTTTAAGTACAGTAAACTGGAAATTTCGTAATATAAAAAATAAAAAGCGTAAAGGCCATATATATATATATATATATATATATATATATATTTTTTTAAACGCCTACCTAAAATATTGAAATTATTACTGTTTATATGTATATAAAACAAAATTTTGAAAAAAACATTATTTGAGAATTTGATTTCGTTCCAAATTCGTAAACAACATTAAATGGGAGCAGATTGTTGGGTCTGTTTACATTAAGTGTCCTTATTAGATATAATATATTATATATTATATTCAAAGATTTCATAGGAATTGGAAATTTTATATATAGTAAATAAATAAAATAAATAAGTCGCAAACAATAAAAATTGTTTATCCACACGTTGACAGTCTATTAGATGTTAAATAAGATTTCCGAGAAATTTAATTAAAATAAAATATCTGTGACGCGATCTGAAGAAAGAGACCTTAGAAGCAAATCGGTGTTTCCGTCCAGAGAGATACACTGACTATACCTACTCTTTCGATATGTGACAGTTGTTATAGGCATAATATTCTCTACTCGAATATTTAATTTTGGCAGCACCATTTTAATTACTTTATTAAATATTATTTATATATATTGTCAAGTTGTGTAAATCTTATTTTTTGTTAATTACTTTTAATATAGATTTGAAAATTGTGTTAAAATATTTAAGCATTAAAAGATTTTTAAAAATATAAATAAGTATCGGATAAAATGTAGCGGCTGGCTTTAACTTCATCCAAAAAATCATTATTATTTCGTCATTATTATTATTAAATGATCCATACTATTTTGTAAATAATTTATGAACTAGTAACAGAATTTATATATATAAAGTACAAAAACGTTTGAAATCGATATCGAATTTTGCCGGCAAACGGTCTCGAGCACGTGTTTACAGGTTAACTGAGATGAAATGCTATAGTACGGTTCAGTCAGGGCGTCTCTCTCTCAAAGCCGAGTTGACCCGAACTTCGAGCGCCTCATAGATTCAGTATGCGTGAGAGTAGTAGTGCATACGTCATGGAGAAAAAGAATCAAGTATCTCGACGAACAGCTGATCTTTAACTTGTAATTATATAAAAACTATTTAACGAAAATGTTTTCTGACTTCAGGTAATGAAAGAGGAACCTTTAATTAACCTTAAACTGCAATAATCCGAAAATTGATTTTTTGCTTCTAAGGTCCCTTTCTTCAAATCGCGTCACAGATATAGACTAAATATACAGGGTGTATCATAACCGGGTACTATCAGGAAAATATATAAATCATAAAATATTCTTGAACCTAGAGATATCCATAGATATCTTGAGGACATCCTAGAGATATCCAAATTTCCGGATATCTCTAGGACGTCCACAGGATATCTTGAATATCCGGATGCTGTTTGGGTTATAAATCACGTACATTATAAAAAATAATTAATATTCAACAGATTTAATCAAAATATTCATATTAATAATAAATAACATTTTGAAAAATTATTCGGCATATTGGATCCGCCATTTTAAATTTTGAAAACTGATATTGGATTCGTAATCAGCGACTCCAATAACAATTAAGTAACGAGTTTCATGTAAATCCGATAATTTTTTTTAAAAAATCGTCTGACATATTCGTTCCGCCATTTTGAATTTTTTAAAAAATGACATCGGATTCTTAATTAGCGACCCCAAAAACCCTTAAGGGTATAATGATCTGTAAACTTTGTTTAGTAGAAAAATATATAAATGAAAGGGTTAATATTATTAATATTATTATAATTCATTTATGATGTGAATATTCATTTTTTGAAATTTATATAGTATTTTTATTTAAACTTAGTAATGAAGTAAACTGTAGAATTAGATAAACATTCATTTCTCGGAATTTATGAGATTGTAATGTTTACATAATGTTGAATAGAGTATTTAGAATCAAAACAAAATCCGAGTCTATTTAGTAACGTGTCAGGACACGTAAATGTATTACTATCAGGGATATGTCCGGAAACGGAACTAAAATGAATTATAATTTTAATCCGTTCCGTGCCAGAGGCATGAAACTAAATTACTTAAGAAATTTGTTTTGTGTCCCGGCACGATTCCAAGGAACGAGCCGAGGAACGAAACAAAAATAAATAGAAATCTTATTTCGTTCCAAGCTCAAAAACAGAAATATATAGAAATCTTATTTCGTTCCAAGCTCAAAAAAAG